CAGCTGTCAGAAGTTATTACAATAGTTCCCAAATAAGTACGGTCTTGACCATGCCCAAAAAAAAAAAAAATCCAGCGCTCTGGGTGCTTCGGTTGCGGAGTTACGTCATGGGAAAAAAATAAAGACAAGCATCACGTTTATAAGTTTAAATACACGCACAGACATACAGACATGCACAAAAATATACACACAAAACATGCATTCGCAAATGTACACAAACACACAGACACACATACACCTACATACACACACAATCACACATAAATACAGACATACATACACACACATACACACACATAAATATAGATAGACGCATGGTAATTTTTCCGGAAACAAAGAAATATCGCGAAAATTGAAACCAAAACAGCTGAATAAGTAAGTGTGGAAGAAGTTTCTGGAAGAAGTCCAAGTTCCTACATTCCAAGTTTCCTATAGTTTGCATTTTTGTCTCACTAAGCATTCCTTGAATTGTTTTAACGCCCTTGTTTTTCAACAGAATTAGAAAGAAGCTCATTTACGCGACAAAAAATATTTATTACAAAGACACATAAATCGCACAAACCGTGGACTGTATGACCTGGAGCGCCGCCGATATCGCCTTCGGCTACTGCTGTAATCTTCATCCTCACTAGAAAAATCTCAGTTGTAAAACCGAACCTGTTAGTAATGATAGATAATTACCATAAGAACTGCAGAAACTGGAGCTTTTTGAAGAGAGGAAAGAGGTGAGCAAGAGCAGCAGGTAGAGAAAAAGCCTAAGAGCCTAGTAAGCCTAAGTGTTCTGTTGATCATGCATGGGTCCATTTCATTATCCGCTTCATCCATCTACTATCTGACATCCTCGCCCATCTCTTTTTTTTTTCACGACCAGCCCATTTCTTTTTCCTGCTGGCGTATATTGCTTCAGTAATATCTTTCACGTCAGATCCAACTCGGAACAGTTCATTTTAAATGTGCTACAGCCTGTCAGCGCCAACCATCCGTTACTCCGTTGCTGTTTGAGATACAGCCAATTTTCTTTCTTCAGCAAGCGTGGTATTCCACATCTCACACCCATATAACATGGCTGGTAGAACGGTCGAAATGTAAATTGCTGCTTTTGCAGATGAAGTAATCTTTGACATGGAGAACCTCAAAACCATATAGCATAAAATGACATATAAAAATTACCTGTCCGAATCACGATCCCTTTCACGTTCACGTCCTCGATCACGATCCGATCGATCTTTTTCTTCTTCCTTGACATCACGACGTTCCAGACCAGGTGGTGGGAACGTTGGCCTGGACATCAGTGGAGGTGGACGCGTCATCGGAGCTGCTGGAGCACCTAGGAAATTCGAAAAAAACGCAATGACATGT